AAGAAAATCAGTTTTTATAAAGACACAAGCATGTTTATAATTTAGAAGATGTCGACTTGAATCTGCTTTTGGATTTTTATCTCTTATTTAAAATGGATTTAATTGATTGATGTGTAAAAATCGTGTTTATGTAATGCTACAGATCAGAAAGTTACTTAGTGAAAGTATCCACAGAAATGATTCAGAAAGTTGGAGAGGTAGACTTTATTCATTACTGAGCAGTAATCAGCTCTCTGTGAACACGAAGGAGTTTTCATCACTCTCTAAAGTGAGTTTCATCATATGTATACATTAGCAAAACAAAAATGTCGGTGAAAGTTTATTTTCTCAAAGAAATGAGAAGCATTTTTAGTCATTTGAGAGTAACGTGTAAAAAACTAAAAAACTAACATGGCTTTTCTTGACATTCTACACGATAAACTGTTATATATCGATTTTTTTGTGTTGAAATATACAATTATATTTTTTTCTTTTTGATTGATTTTGAAACTGGGAGGTATATTACAGAAAACAAATTGAAATATATGTCATCTCGGTAAATCTTCGCCACTTTGAAACTGATTTAATTGAGAAATTTGATATTTCCAGGGAATTTCCTTCAAAGGCAGCTATAGAAACAACACAGCCCTGTGAACGTGCTTGGCAAAAGAACAAGATCTATGATTTCATGAACATAAAAATATCACCTGTCACGATAAAAGCTTTAAAAACTGAGTTTTCTCTGTTAGAGACTTAGTTAATATACTATTGTTCTATTTGATACATAACTTTGTTTTTTCATAAATTTCAAAAAGTCATTATTTGATTGAGACAACATTTCTATTTTTTTCAATCCTTTAAATTGATGTTGCCTATTTTCAACCGTGTTTGTAAGAAATGAAAAATTTGATGAAATCAAAAATCATCGATCTCAAAACTTCTATTACTATACAAATATGAGAACAAAATTGTAAAACATGGAACCATGAAGATAGGATAAGATGTTTAGGAGGTTAGAGAATCCCCTGATGACAGATCACAACCCCCCTAAGCGCTATGTATTGAGCATGTATTTACAAAATGTACGGGACATCTAGTAGTAAAGGATTCGAATAAATATAATGTCTAACAATTTAATCAGTTTTGAATTACAACGCAACTTGAATATGTATATATTTTATACAGCTCTTTCCAAATAATTGTTAATGCTTACTATAATTAGACGAATTTTCCAATCTACCTAAATAAATCGAAAATAATTTTAACGTGCAGATAAAGAATGCTTCATTACATCCAGATAACTTGTAATTAAAACTTTCAGATTTACTTTACTTGTTGACAATATCATCAATACTTACATAACATGTAAATCAAATATGAAAACTGCAATCAGTATTCAATTTCGAAGGTTAAAGTAAAGGATCAAAGCAAATAAGACATTCTAAAACATTAGAGGTGGGATCTCGTGCTGGCAAGTCACACCCACCGTGTGCTTCTTGTTTTAATAGGCAAAACGAAAATAATATCTAGAAAATTCAATATGAAAAAAAGATCTAACAATCAGTATAAATATTACTTTGGTTAGCATTTGATTTATTGATAGATTTTATTTCCTGACACGATTATTGTAAAGGCCATCTTAATTAATTGTTGAATGCTAACTTCAAGCGAGACTCTTAATATTCTTATTCCGTATGCCTGTATGTGAAAAGCTGAATGAAAGCAAGAGGTATTTACTTTTGCTTCAGGTGAAATCACAGGAAAAATGAAAAGTTATAAAACAATGCATAATTCTCAAGTATATTGATTTTATTTATTTAAAGATATTTAAATTCTCTTGTGAGTTTTCAAGAATCAGAATCGTTGCATTCGAAAGGAGGGATTTTAGCAGTTACAATTGGATAGTAATTTTTCCGAAGAAGTTTGATTTTCTGTGGTGTCCACTGAAAGTTGCTGTAGGACATCTTCTGAATTCTTCGACTGTTTCATCCAAAATCTGATCATATGTTCTAAACAATAAAAATATTACAAATTCAGAAGCATTTTCGCTTAGATGTTTTTGGGAAAACATTTATCCCAAAAATAAAAAGCTCATATTAGAAACATTGAATTCATAATCCTTCATTTTGTCATTAATGAAAAATTGTCTGCTCTTTCCATGCAACATTTTTCCATTCACAAGAGTTCAATGATTCAACAAGAAGTCAAATGACAAAGGACTTACAATAATCATTAGCAACAAATGCTCCTCTAAAATAATACGTTATCATTCATTTTAATATTCTGTTCAGTTGTCCATCTTTTCCGTGTCATTTACAATGAAAAATACAGTAAAAACAAACGAGCTCAAAAAATCTATTCAAACAACACAAATTTGAAGCTTGCCCAAGCTTTTCGACTGACACCACTGATTTAGGTAAATACTCAGCTGTGATTTTTGTCAGAGATTTGACTCTTCCAAATCCACTATATTTAATATTACATGGCAATATAACTTTAAAAGTTTTTTGAAGTTAGGCTTTGTTATCGTTTGGCATAAAATAACTGTATTAATATCTTTTTTCAATTTTTAAGTTTTTAGGTAAATGGATGGTTAAGTTTAGATTTTTTCCCTAAAAGATAAAAATTATTAAATTACTGAAACGCTTTAACACATTCTTATAATAAACGTGCGGCTTAAACTTACGTGCAGAAAGATTCTTTGGACACATCCGTTGTGATTTCGTGGTCCACGACAGATTTCATCAGGGGTCGCAATATCTTTGAGTAGTTATCAAGTTTCAAGTATATACTGTTAAGACATGGTCGCAAGTCTTGCATCACTGCAACGAAAGAGGGAGAATTTTATCAACCATCGCTGCAATAGAGGAAAATAAAATTCTTGGGAAAAAAATCTGTCTCATCATGACCAAAAACTTACTTGGGTATATAGGATTTATACAAAGGCTTGTTTCTGGGGTTGTAAAAATGGCAAGATAATCTCTCTCGTATGCACATTCTGGGTGTTGCCAAGTTCTTCTCCACAATCAAGGAGTTCCTGAGTGTATCTTTCAATAATGCCGGGTAAATGATAATTATTAGGTCATGAATCAAAGTTTTCATTTAATAGAAAAATTAAATATCCATGAATGGATAAAAATGTTTTTGAATGATGACTTAATTAAAAAGTCGAATTGACTAGTGATAAAAGATGAGAAGAAATCAAATAATTCTTTATAATATGTAAAAAAAAACTGCTGCCCGGTAAAATTCATATTCTGTCCTGCATGTTTCAGTTCAGTAATATTTTATTTTCATTTGTGGTAAAAGAAAAAGAAAGAAATTCATACATCAGAGAAACAGTTTGAAATTAAAAATGTCCCATCAGAAAGGAAAAGAAGAGATGTCATGAGAATTTGGAAAAAAGTAAAGATATATGTATATTAAAATACGTTGAAAGTATATACTAAAAACAGTTTAGCGACATCTTGCAACAGGTCAAGGTACATCTTCTATGTATAATTTATTTAGATCCTTATTTAGGTAAGGAAAGTATACAGTTTACCTATATAATTCTGAATTACAAAAAATTAAAAATGGTTACAAGGAAGAAAAATGTGTGGCTAGACTACTGTCCACAAATACGCTATTGATATAAATAGTATTTCTTGTCACTGGTCTATGGATATGATCAAAATAATTATCCTGAAAATTATTTTTATCTAAACGCTTACTTGCAATAACTGGTGAAAAAATTTTCTCCCAGGAAAAATTTCCCTTCCTCGTCCGTATTGTCTAATGTCGTTTCAGATTCAAAATAAATCCAGACAGCTTTTCTCCACGAAGGTAACGTTTGTGTATTCAGAATTGTCGTTATCTCGTCTCATCAAAACATTACCTACACGTTTTATTGTGAACAATAGTAACACAGTTTTAAAAAATATTTCTAACGTTTAGTCTTAATTGATATTTTAAAGACTAATATCACGTAACGTGTGTCTAGAAAAAAAAATCTGTGAGTGTCTTAAGTGTCTTTTTGTTGTTTTGTTCTCATTTAATTATTTCTTTATTCTTTGAGCAACTGAATTTATATTGTCTTTGTCAGGTGGCAATAAATTTTAAAAAATGAAAATATTGTTATTTTATAGAACACAACATTAAAAAGTATCTTTGGATATATTTGATAAACTTTGCTTTTAAATTATATAGACTAACCCATGGTGGGCTGGAAATATGTCGTGGTAATAAAAATCAAGAAAGAGAACTAACAAATATTCCACACTGCATCCTGTGCATCTTGACCATTCTCTCAAAACAACGTGGGAATAGGCACTGTAAACTTCATATATAAACAGTCAATGTATATATTATGCTTGATTTAACGAAGAAAATTTCTCCATCCCACACATGTAAAAGAGATGATTATCCTCTTTAAGTGATATTTATGAAAAGTTCAAAATATTAAAAACCATCCATTATAATATTTGACGTTTGACATGATAATTTTTCTGGATTACACTAATTATTTTACAAGATATAAAGATTGGCATGAAATTGATTTAAGATAATTACTTAGTAACTTCGTTCCAAACAGATCTTTGTAGATTTGGTTTGTTTGTCTCCAAAACGTTTGTTAAATATAAATATAAGTTTTAAAAACATTTTCCTCTACAGCTGTTCTTGATTATGATCAGTCTAAAATATGCAGTCACAGTTTTACATTTCACAAACCCGTGGTTTTTCAGCCATTTATTTTTGAAAATCGTTAAAATCGTATGACATTATAAATACAAGACTTAAAATAAGTCAATCAATGCAATTCTACATTAAAAAAAAATAATTTAATGTTTTTGAAAAAATTTTTAGGGGGGGGGGGGAGAATATTGTCATTTTTTTTTTTAAATCCATTGTCATATTAACTTAATTTAATGTTATATACTTTGATTCTGTCCCGGAAGCCTAGAGCTTTGAGATTCGCTTTATCATAACGTAAACTCACGCGCACGCACGTGCATGCGATTGCGCGCAAAATGACCTTCGTTCCGCACACCTACACTACACACCTATTAACCCTAAAAAGGTTTTAACTTAAGTCTGAAAAAAATATTATAAAGATGTTGGTGTAAAGATTAATTGAATTTCTAGCAAGGTTACTATTCGTTATTATTGCCATTACATTTGATTTAGTTCACATGCAACTTTTGTAACAATCTGTTTTAATTGAAATTCATGTTATGCTCTTTAAAGATAATTGCCAAAACTTACTTTAACTCATTTTTCGAGTTATATAAATAAATTGATCATGATTATGACTTAACTTGTAGATACAATGCTTTTTTCATCCAAACAGCGTGTTATAGCAAA